GCTTTATTACATCCTGAGCCTATGATGGAGGCATTCACAGAATCAACACCCCAAGTGGGCCCTGCTTCTCCCATAGCTGCTGCCTTGGTTTCCAACAGAAATCAGGCGTGTTTCTGCCTCTGTGGCTTCCCAGCCTGCAGCTTCTAGCTTCTTGCTCACATATCTCAACTCTCCACTCTGCCTTTGCCTTTCTAACTACCAGTGAGTCAAAGGAGAAGGACCTACCCATTTGTCATCTGGCACAGAAACACTTCCTTTGATGACCCAGGACCATCACCTCACCGGGAAGCTAGCCTGGCTATTACACAAATTGAATCCATGATGGATCCAGGAATTAGAAGGCGGCTCAGGAATACAGCCTGCCCACACAAATTCATAACAATATCCAAAGTTGCAAAGTTGCAGTACATCAATAGGTTCAAGGAGGAGTCATCAAGTGAGTGACAGCCACCATGATGCAGTCCAGGAATAGGAAACCTGTGGCCGGTGGCATAGCACTGGGGGAACCACAGGGGCTGTTGGCCCGGGTGCAAATTGTTAGGGGGTGTAAAATCGCAATACCTGGAGCTGCCTCAATACAGCAGCCTCACTGGTATCCATTGAAAACGGCTCCTCTTTGCGAAACAGAAAGTGACTTCTCCAGACAACGGAACAACTCTTCTTATCTCTGTGGCTGTAATCTTCTGGGTGAGGCAGCTGAAAGCACATGCATACTCCGCCCATTTCCCTCTCATCCACCCACCCTTCCGCGTGGCCCTGAGCACTGGCAACCCACGATATGCCACTGCCTGTGGCTCCCAAGACCAGTGGTCAGGGATGATGGGAGCTGGAGTCTCAACATCTGGAATCCTAGTGCAAAGGCTTGGATTTGAACTAGTGAGAGTGCAGTTCGAATCCCCACATGGTTATAAAGCTCTCAGGGTATCACTGGGCCTGTTACTATTTCTCAGCCTACTTTACCTCATAGAGTTGTTGTGGGTGGCAGGGAGAACAATGTACATTGTCCTGAGTCCCATTTGCATAAATATAATATGTAAATGTCAAAAAAATCTAATGAAGAGAGATTACATTACGTATCACTGAGTCTTGATACATAGTGTGAGCCCTGAAAGTGCGGCCACTATAATACATGGATGCCTTGAGGATCAAAATCTCTGGTAAAGTCTCTCTCTTTTTTGTATGAAACAAGGCACTATGTGTTTTAAAGCCAAGCAAGCCAACCTGGGGGTTTTATACGGTTAAAAAACTATGGAGTGAATTTAGGAGACTGATTTTTAATTCCGAAGAGAACAGTCTGTACTACCCTATAACATGCACCTATAATTTAATTGTTTAGTACAAGTCATGCAGACTTGGTTGTTATTATTTGCTGCTGTTGTTTTTAGAAGTTTGAAATAATGTGCAACTTTGCAAAAGACAATGAGAAGGACAGAGAACTTATGGAACTAACTCCCTGTATGAGGGCAACCGAGGTTGTGTTTCCATTGGGAATCCCAGTTTCCTCACCGCCAAAGGCATACATCCTTCTAAACACAGTTGTGTGGGGTAGATTATGTCCCTGATTGATAGAACTGATCTAAAAAGTAGGGAGTGTTGTGGGTCTGGGAGAATCCAGTGGGACTTCCTTCAAAATATAAATAAATGTTCATCAATTCTGCAATATATTTCAGGGGTGGAAAGGGGCTCCAACCCTGGCAAGTTTGAGGGCTGATGGTGGTTTTACAGTAATACAGTCTCTATTATTATTATTATTATTATTATTATTATTATTATTATTATACTGCCCTATACCCGAGGGTCTCAGGGCAGTTCACAGAATAAAATCAAGATATAAAACCATAAAATACCTAATAAAAATAAAAACAGCAACCCAATGGCACCACACACACACACACATTTTAAAAGGGCATAGGAAGTATATCATATCAACCAAAGGCCAGGTTAAAAAGGAACATTTTTGCCTAAAGGTGCCTAATTAAACCCTCCAAAACTTCATCTCCAAAACTTGTCAGATTTAGACCTCTCCCTAATGCAGGAATCATTTGCCCAACATGAGGTTCAAACCCATGACCTTGAAATTAAGAATCCTCTTCTACCAACTGAGCTATTCTGGCTAGGATATAATTCCTGAGCAGCGTGTGTAAAATCCAGTCTGAGGAAAATATCTGTAGCCAGAGAAGGAAGTCTCTGAGCTTAGTTTGAAAGACAGTGATTAGTAATTAGATTTAGGAGTATACAGACAAGAGGAAAACTGGGAAGCTGATTTGGGGACAGCTGAACTAGAGAACACACTATTTGGGTCTCCGTTCAGTGAGAAGGGGAAAGAACTTCTGGAGAAAGAGAAGAATCCCAAACCAGTTGGAGGGGTATGGTGATCCCCTGTTCTGTTATTGCACCAGAGGAGACAGAAAGTACCACCTTGTTTAGAAGCCTGTAACACCCACCATTTTTTTTTATATAGGGGGCATCCCTCAACCAGCCTTCCTCAACCTGTTTTGGCGTATAGCTTCTATCATTCATTGGCCATGCTGGTTGAAGGCTGGAGGAGCCAAACCTCGCCATTCAGAGGGTCCTGGTGAACCACGGAAGAGCAGCTTCCGAGAACAGATGAGAGCATCATCAGAGATAAGGTAAAGGGACCCCTGACCATTAGGTCCAGTCGTAAACGACTCTGGGGTTGTGGCACTCATCTCGCTTTATTGGCCTAGGGAGCTGGCGTACAGCTTCCGGGTCATGTGGCCAGCATGACTAAGCCACTTCTGGGAAACCAGAGCAGCGCACGGAAACGCCGTTTACCTTCCCGCCAGAGCAGTACCTATTTATCTACTTGCACTTTGACGTGCTTTCGAACTGCTAGGTTGGCAGGAGTAGGGACTGAGCAACGGGAGCTCACCCCGTCGCGGGGATTCGAACCGCCGACCTTCTGATCGACAAGTCCTAGGCTCTGTGGTTTAATCCACAGTGCCACCCGCGTCCCGTCATCAGAGATAGCCAGCATAAAAGAAAACCAGGTCAGGATTCAGATCTAGATAGCAAGTGTGTGCACATGCACACGATTTAGACCAACGTCAGAAATTGCCAAGATGGCTGTCAGGTATACAGGCCAGGGGAGCCAGAATGCAAGATCAGGGATACAGGGCTCACTAGCAGCAGAGAATTGCAATTGCATGGGACAGGAACATGACTGATGGATGATGCTCATGCAAAGGGCAGAGTCTAAGGTGGAGAATTGCCATGCCCAACAAGGGGAATTGTACATAGAACTGGCCAGGCTAGTATCTTAAGGGTTAAAAAATGCATTTTGCTGGTAAAGACCTACAATCCTTAGTATGGCAAGCACATGGCTTTTGGGCTCAACATACCTCTTAAGGCTAGCAGCACCTGTCTGGAAAGGCAGGTGTTGTTATGCTAAATACCAGAATAATCTGCAGGGGACAAAGAATTCCTCCTTAAACTGATTGTCTTTAAAAATGTGGGGTGAAAGTGAATAGTATAAGCAATAGTTTTTATCAGAGTGCTGTTCACACCCAATCTCCTTTGTGGGACAGTGGGAGTGTATTGCACACACATGAAAGCAGTTTTTCAAAGAGACATTATTCTCCGGTGAGTGTGTCATTCTTTTACAATCCAGAAGCATGCAAGGTATGTGGGTGGATAAAGAAAAAGCACATGCCTGTAGGAGGAGCTTGTGATTCCTCGCCACAGCATACTTTTGCTGTTTACCGGATTGAACAACCACCAATAAACCTGCTATGGAAACTCAACAATGAAAGGCGAACCACACGATACAGCAGCCTCACTTGAAGCATTTGTGCCATTTGACAGCAGGTGAATATTCAAATCCTTGCAATAATAATAATAATAATAATAATAATAATAATAATAATGGCCATTTTAACTCTGCTCATCGAAAATCAGCATGTTAGCATCCTTGACACGCTAGTTCAGTATATTCTGGGAGTAATCAAAAAATAGATCCTTCATGTCCCTGCAGATTAATATGATAATGGAATCAAAGAATTGTAGAGTTGGAAGGGACCCTGAGGATCATCTAGTCCAGCCCCCCTGCAATGCAGGAATACGCAGCATTCCCATATGGGGATCAAACCTGCAACCTTGGCGTTATCAGCACCATGCTCTAACCAGCTGAGCTATCTGATATAGTCCAGCAACAGAAGCCTTGTGTTTGGCTTTCAGAGCCAATGGTATCTCCAATGCTGAATGAATCAGTTCACCGATACTGGATAATCGCAAAGCTGAAACGACATGTTCCCAGAGAGAAAGTGAGTGTGTCACTTTGGTCAGTGTTGTATTTAGGAGAGAGACTCAGAGCTTAATTTAGCTATGAGGCGCACTGGGTAGCCTTTGATCTACCTTCCTGGATTGTACTGAAGATAAATAAAATGAGCCCCTTTGCAGATTGGTGTGTGTTAGGGGTTATCAACCCATTAATGCTTCTGTCCGTAAATTATTTCCATGTATTTATTTATATTATATCACACATTTATATCCCATCTTTCTATCAGAAGACGCCCGAGGCCTTGATCTTGAAAATATGAAAAGTGAAATGAATCACTGGCACATTTGATTACACCTCAAAGAATAAAATGAATTTATTGCACAAGCCTCCTTTATACTGGTTCTTATGGGGTTTTGTCACAGCTACTTTAACAGATTCACTGGATTTAGGACCCCATTTGTACACAGGCTGTTGACCTTTGTATGAATGCATCCATGCAGAGTACAATGCATAGATACTATCCAGACCCATCTCATTCCTGATTATATAGGTCATTAGACAGGCTCCCAGTAATATTATATATTCTGAACCTGAGACAGTATGTAATCTGACTGCACTTCTGCTGCTGACATTTGATGACCAGGGGATTTGAGAGCTGGGAAGCCATGAACTTAGTGAACCTCGCCTGGTTTCTTTCATCTGCCTGACCAGAGCCCTCTAGCATACATCCAAGTGGAACAAAGGGACTTTGCCTGAACATGCACACCTTAGGATCAAACATGGAACTTGTGTGCATGTATATATATATATATATATATATATATATATATATATACACACATGCCAAATGCATAGCTGTCAACCTTTCCCTTTTTTTAAGGGAAATTCCCTTATTCTGAATAGGATTCCTCGCAAGAAAAGGGAAAAGTTGACAGCTATGGCCAAATGGGACATGGGTGGCGCTGTGGTCTAAACCACTGAGACTCTTGGGCTTGCCGATCAGAAGGTTGGCAGTTCGAATCCCTGCAATGGGGTGAGTTCCCGTTGCTCAGTCCCAGCTCCTGCCAACCTAGCAGTTTGAAAGCACGCCAGTGCAAGTAGATAAATGGGTGCCACTGCGGTGGGAAGGTAAGCGGTGTTTCTGTGCACTCTGGTTTCCGTCACAGTGTTCCGTTGTGCCACATGACCCCGAAAGCTTAAAGGGAATTTCCCTTTAAAAAAGGGAAAAGTTGACAGCTATGCTCTGAACTATGGCATCTAGCTCCAGCAAAATCAGGACTCCTGCTATGCAGAAAGTTGCCCTTATCTAGAATAGGATGTGCATATGAGTAAACAGGATTACTTGATTATATCAGATGCTGGAATGGGAACAGCACACCCAAACCGAATGCCCATTCACATGCATTCAAATGCAGACCAGGGTGAATTTGCAGTCTGTGTACATTCCAAGGTGCCTCTGCATATACATTCAGGCACTGCCCTTTTGTTTGCACACAACTAGAGCTGCACTGGAGTCAGAATGCCTGAAAATTCCTAGGCACAGAAGAAGTCTATTCCCTGCAATGGTCTCCTTGGAAACCAAGCACCGTTCAGAACATGGTAGAAGTTCCAGCATCCTATCACAGGCAAGCACTGGCCATCATTCAAGTGGTTAAGAAATCCATATTGTTGGGGATAATTCAGATGGAAACTTCCAGGTGTCAAAAAAGGCTATTTATGTATACCACTACTGCAGCCTGTGTTTTGTTAGCCCAAAAATGGAAAACGAGCGAAATCCCAACTAAAGAAGAATGGCAACTTAAACTGACGGAATATGTGCAGCTTGCGAACTTAACATATAGAATAAGAGAACAAGAAGAACATATGTTTAGAGAAGGTTGGAAAATGTTTATTGAATATATGGGGGGGGGAATTGTGTACACTTGAAAATGTTGGCAGCATTAAGATAAATTCAACAGTGTAAATAAGTTCTGATGGATGTACTAATGGAATACTGATTGGTTTAGTCTATGTAAAATATGCAGGGATTTGTGTTATGCAAAATGAAACATGGAAAGAGAGGAAGGGAAGTCACTGATACTTTAAGGTTGTTTAAATGAAAATTCTAAATTGTAAAACAGAAAATTTAATAAAAGTGTGTGTGTGTGTGTGTGTGTGTGTGTGAAATGCACACAGCTTTTACACGTATCTGCTCAATAATGTTGTATGGCTGAAAATGGGTCCCAAAAGTCACAATGCAGTGTTGGGCCCCATGTCTTTTAACAGGGGTTGGGTGCCAAATCCACCCCCCATTTAAAATTAGTCTCCTTCAGAACAACTTTGCAATAGCATGGTGAAGGAACCATGATCTAACATTTGGGGTGCATCATTCACCTTGTTAATGTTCTGTCCTATGCAGAAAGAATGGCTCATCTCAGCCTAGTTGGAAGGGAGGACATAGTAAACACAGGTGGAACCTGGGTGTGGTGTTTCAGTTCCAAGAGATACCAGTGCCTCTGAAGGACCAGTTGCCATGACCCAAAAACGGTGCCTATATTAGCTTTGCCATACCATCACCATTCCGAACTTGTTATTGGAATGGTGCCTGCCTCCTAGAATATTTCCCAAATATGTACAGCTGAAGACCATATGAGCCCAACCTCTAGCATGCATAGGCTAACTAAAAATTAAATCCCTCTCCTATGGATCTGCTTAAACTACAGGATTGCAGTTAGTCTTGCACCCTGTCCTGTGAAACTCTAGCTACATTGCCATCATTATTTGGGCAGGGGGGTGGGTTTGTCTACTACAGGCTGGTGTAGTTATGTATTAAGTATTAACTGGATTTTGCCTTTCCCAGTTGGATAGCAAACCGTATTTCCCCAACTAATATGAAAAGGTCATCTGCAAGCATTAGAGTGGATTCCTGCAAGAGTCAAGAATACATTCAAAGGTAGGCTATATACCGGTAGTACAGGCTTCCTCAACCTCGGCCCTCCAGATGTTTTTGGCCTACAGCTCCCATGATCCCTAGCAAGCAGGACCAGTGGTCAGGGATGATGGGAATTGTAGTCTCAAAACATCTGGAGGGCCAAGGTTGAGGAAGCCTTCTATAGTATGTGAGTGTGAAAGCCAGCATGGCATAGACATTAAGTTGAAATTATTATTATTATTATTATTATTATTATTATTATTATTAATTACTTATACCCCACTCATCTGGCCGGGCCTCCCCAGCCACTCTGGGCGGCTCTCAACAGAATATTAAAAACACAATAAAACATCAAACGTTAAAAACTTCCCTAAACAGGGTTGCCTTCAGATGTCTTCTAAAAGACAGATACAGTGGACGTTCAGGTTGCAAACATTATCCGTTCTGGATGCACGGTCCCAACCTGCAGCTTTCGCAACCTGCAGCAGCGTGTCTGTGCACACGTGGGTTGCGATTCGGCGCTTCTGCGCATGCGCAAAGTGCAATTTAGCGCTTCTGCGCTTGCGCGACTGCTGAAACCCGGAAGTAACCCATTCCGGTACTTCCAGGTTTTGGCGGTCTGTAACCCAAAAAAATGCAACCTGAAGTGTCTGTAACCCGAGGTATGACTGTAGTTGTTTCTTGACATCTGGTGGGAGGGCGTTCCACAGGGCGGTTGCCACTACCGAGAAGGCCCTCTGCCTGGTTCCCTGTAACCTCACTTCTCGCAGGGAGGGAACCGCCAGAAGACTGTCGACACTGGACCTCAGTTTCTGGGCTGAACAATGAGGGTGGAGATGCTCCTTCAGGTATACTGGGCTGAGGCCGTTTAGGGCTTTAAAGGTTACAAAAGCAATAGCCACCATCCCCAAATCAAGATGACACCCCAACACAGATCATCTGCAGAGATTGTCACTATTACAACTGACACATGTGGTTTGGGGCATTTTTTCTAGAGAGGACCCAGAGTAAGAGATCTGATGAGCTTCAGAGACAGCACTACAGAAAGTACCTTCATACCATTTTCTGGAATTCTGAACAAGCAAGTGGTAGGATTAGGGTGCGAGTAAACTGCCTGTAAAAAATAAAATAAAACATTGGTCTGATTTTGCTTCATTCTCTGACCTATTTTACAGGGCATCTTGCAATGTGGCTGAAACAATGTCACTTCGGGGCAAATAGTGCCTGGAATGTTGTTTTGCTTTCCTGCTTAGAAGAATGAAGTGTAACTTTTCTCCTGACAACTATAACTTGTGTACACAACAATTTGGACAAAGTGGGCAAGTTAGTTCTCTGATTATAATACAATATGCCTGCTTTGTTTTAAAGACTTGCTTCCATCTTATCGGCTCAACCGTTTATTAAGTTATTCGAGGTCATAGCTTATAGCCCATGCTTTGCAGAAAAGTTATTCTAGGATAGCCTGGAATACTGCCTTGTTTTCGTATGGTCCTTGGCCGAAGAACTGATCAGGTGAAACGTGCAAGGTTCCTGAGAGAGCTCTGCACATTGCTTGAAAATGCAAAGAGGACTTCTTCACACAGAATACTCTCCATTTCTTTAGATTAAAATCTAACACCTAATGCATGGCCTAAACTAATTAATCGAATGCAATCTTAAGCATGTTTATTCCAAAATGAACCATAAGCCCAGGAAATATCTGGTACTTCGCAGAAAAGGCTTTCAAATGATTTCAAGCCTCAACCTCTGTCATTTTCGAATACAGTGGTACCTCAGGTTAAGTACTTAATTCGTTCCGGAGGTCCGTTCTTAACCTGAAACTGTACTTAACCTGAAGCACCACTTTAGCTAATGGGGCCTCCTGCTGTCGCAGCGCCACTGCTGCACGATTTCTGTTCTCATCCTGAAGCAAAGTTCTTAACCCGAGGTACTATTTCTGGGTTAGCGGAGTCTGTAACCTGAAGCGTATGTAACCTGAAGTGTATCTAACCCGAGGTACCACTGCATAGCCGTTGACACAAAGCTCAGACCCTCCAAAGGTCCCTATTTTCCAGAGACATTCCAGATTTAGAGAAGCTGTCCCGGTTTCTGATTTGATCCTGGAATGTCCCACTTTTCCTTAGGATGTCCCTATTTTCATTGGAGAAATGTTGGAGGGTATGAAAACTTGATTCAGTAACAGTTGATTACAACGTAGCTTGAGCACTTGTGTCAATTATCAACAGAGATTTCATTACAGCAAAGTTATTTCACTGATGTAAATAACTCCTGTTGCCATCACATATCGTTCGTATGGCATAGCTTCAGTAGCAAGTACAGCAGAATGCGTTTACACAACCAACTTTTGCCTGTAAGGTGTTGTGTGTATGATGAGGCCGTAGCCAACTCTTGTTGTAACAGCAACACTGAAAGGTTTTGCATGGTCAGTGCCTCCTGCCTCTGCCATACCTTATACAGTTAAAGCAAATACCAAGAGGAACTATGGAATGTCATTCACATGACCACGCTTAGAAACAGAATGTTTCAAATTCCATTGGCTGGGCAGCAAATTATCTTTGTTCCCAAATGCAACCAGCCTTTCAGCTCTGAGCACTAAACAAAGGCATGGGCAGCAAGTGATATCATAATGTCTCAGATGCCTGTATCACAGTGTTCTCGTGCTGGACTGGGTGTGGAACTAAAAAGGCAACGTGTGTGCTACCAGTTCCCTTACAGGCATCTAATGCCACTTATGCCTTCAACAATATTCTTAACGCTGACACTTGGCTGTTCTTTTCCTTCTGCAGCAAGACTTTAAAACAAATGAATTATTGCCGACAAATGCAGCTATCCGATTCAAAACCAAGGTGAAATGCAAACTGACTACTTTTTTTGCCAGAAATCCAAGTGACCACACAGACTACTTTTAGCAACATTTCCCCCCTTCCTTCAGAGAGGGGGAAAAACCCCACTGTTTTATTCATTGAAATAGTGCATGTAGACAATTGAGAAACTGAAATGACAGCTTCTTTTGTTCCAGCATATGGCAGACAGACAAGAAGCCGACAGCTTGAGGCAGATGCAAGCTATTGGCACTCCATCTGCATATTTCCAATGCAATTGTGTCTGGGGTTTGTGGCTGGAAAGTCTGGATCTTAAAAAGAAAAAGAAAAAAATCTAGACTTGTACAGGGTAGAAAGTGACTGAACAAAATGTAACAGTGGCTTGTGAAATACATAGTTTCTCCCAAAACTTTTAATCATAGCAGCTGAATGTTAGAGGCAAGTAGCTTTGATAACAATGCTAAGCATCTGAAACTGTACAACTATTTTTGTGGTTTTTATTATTTCAGCTTTCAAATGATCAGCTGCCTAGGAACATGTGCTGTGTCTTTTTAAGTGCATGACAAAAGAACAGAGCTTATTAAACATGCAGCTCTTCAGTCTTGCAAGCTGTTGCGATAAACAGCTGTTGCCATGGGTTGGGTGAGAGGTTAAGTCATTTCTAATAGACGTCATATACCCTTTTGTCCAGCCAGCATCAGTGGCTCAGATATTTTCAGCTGATAAGAGATCTGTGGGCCACTCACGTTGTAGTTTCGACCAGTAAATTTTTATTATTACCTACTCAAGCTAAACCATATGCATCTTTTTAATGACAAACTGGCGTAAACCACAGAAAGGCAGCCCAGGGAAGTGTGATGATTTCTATGGCATACACATCAACCGTTAAGCGCCTTTGCAGGCACGTTGTAGATAAAGCCACAAGCAACTGTAAAAAAACCAGGCAACTGTGCTTAAGTCCACTTTAAGTGCACCTAAGATGACTTCAACAGCCCTCTCCGCATTCTGTTTACAGCCCATTTATATATTTTACTCCATTGACTGTTGTTTTGGATTCTTCCCCCACCAGCTGGCAAGCAAGACCACCACCACAAGAAAGTTGGTTATCAAAAAAATTTATTACAAATGTGTTAAGAATTTCAATAGCAGCATGAATTTCAGTTTAAAAGAATTATTGCAAGATTGGTTATCAATGCAGAATATAGTCCAAAAGACCTCCTCCGGTAGCTCAATCTGCATCAAAATCTTTGCAGAAATGCAATCGTACCAATGTCTTTTAAGAGTCCAGTCTCTTGGGGAAGGGGCTGGATGCCACCCGCCAGCAGTTTCTTGTCCATACCTTGTCCATTCCTGCCCTTTCACCTATGTCCAGTTTTCAACTTTCACTCTGGCTTTCTAACATGAACATTCCACCTGACCTGGAAACCTGCCACAGTTTTTTTTCCCCCACTCTCTTTTCTTCTGCTCCTAAAATAAAAACTGCAGTACTTCTTCAGCTCCACAGATATGCCAGCTTCTCCAGCGCTGCAGCATAGCAGAGAGGCTCACTGCTGGTACAATCCACTCGCCTTTGCTTCTCTCTTTTTTTTCTCCCCACAAGAATCCACCACGTGCTGTGTCTGAGCGACTTAATCCAAGCTGTTGACCGGGCTAATCTCCAGAATCAGCCACTCGCTGGGTTGCCCAGATGTGCAGCTCCAAGGTGATAATGCAACAAAAAGGTTTCAACCTCTCCTGTGCACCGGCTACGTCAACACCGTCACCATCACTCGGGCAGGGTGATGTTGGGCACCCAGTCGTTGACATTTCGACTCTCTTCGCAAAACAAGTTCAGCTTGTCTAAGGCTGGGTCTTTCCAGGCATCCTCATTGGGATTCTGCAATAAAGAGAACAAAGATACATGAGCGAATATCACAGTCCAAAACACAATACAGCAGGAAACTAAATCTGCTCACTGCTATGGACAATAAGGCAGGCTATATATATATGTCCGAAACTGCAACAACTACAGCTACTAATTCCTGAGGTACCAATGAAACACACTTTATGAGATGTGCTTCCTTGGGAATGGGCCACCGGCAGAAGCACTTAAATCATGTCAGTGGCAGCTATTTGCTGGCCTAAGGTTGCTCTGGCACTATTTTGCTATCCAATGCGCTGCCTCAAAGAGATTCACAGGAGAAAATCCTGCCCAATGCCCAAGCGTTAAAGACGGGCATGGCACGCTATGGCATTGCACAGAATAAAAGTGGGGCTTGCCCCTTACATGGCGCTGAAAACTCACCGTGATGAGGATGCAGTGCAGGTCTCTGGGCTCCCCGCCCTCCTCGCTGGCGCCCACAATCGCGGCCAGCTTCTGGATGTCGTTCACGCGCACAATGTCAATGTCGTTCTCGCAGCAAAAGGCTTGGATGAGAGTGAAATGGATCTGCAGGGCGATGTCGCCCTCGTCTTCCTCGTCCGCGGCCAGCACGCAGAAAGCGACCGTGTCGGGATCACTGCAGAGAGAGGGAGGCTTGCGATTAGCCACTTTAAAAGCGGAGATTCTTGCAAAAAAAATAAAGCAAAGAGCTGTGCACTTTCTGCACTCTCTTCTTCCCGCCCGGATTCCCTCCCTTTTCCCGGTGTTGCGCAAGGCATGCAAAACGACAGGCGCGGTGCAAATGCCCAGATACTTACACATTCATCAGTTTTGCGGATTCGTAGACGCCCGCGGTGAGGCAGCCGCGGCGCTGCGACGAGACCAGCAGCTCCTGCAAAGCTTTGCCGGCCTTCTGCATCCGGTTGCCGGTGGCGGCGCTGCTAGAGCTACTGCAAACGACAAGAAGAGGGCAAGTGCCGTCAGTCGCGGGGAAACCTTTCCTGGCTTGCATTCCCAGCCCTCCATCCATCCGCGGTACCCAACCCGCGCGCCCGCCTCCGTCCGCGCGAGACCCTTCCATCATAAGCCGCCTCAACCACCACCCCATCTTCCCCATCCCGGGCTGAACCTCTGCCCGGCGGATAGTTACCTGTCGCTAGTTTCCGGCATCGTCTCCTGCCCGTGAATTTCCTCCAAAGTCATAATGGTCCGAGACAGGCAAAAAGCGGCAAGCCCAAAACAAGAAATGTTTCAACAGCAAAAACCAGGCACCCAAAAAGTATCCACACAAAGGAAAAGGTTCTGCTCGGCGGCTGAAAGATCTCTCCCGGAAAAAAGAAAAGCGATCGTAAAATATAGACAGCTAAGCACCGAAGCTCTCCGATCTCTGCTCACTCTTAAAGTCCCCAGCGAAGTGTGAGCTGCCAGGAGCGCCGCGCGCCCTATTTATACGCTGCGGAGCTTCTGTGCCGGCAGCTGCTGGAATCTCGGCGGCGCTGATTGGCCGGGCTAGGGGTGTATTGTTATGCTAAGCAGGCGCTGGGGAGAAGCCGGCTCGTGCCAGGAGGCCACGTGGGAGACCGGGGGGGGGGGGGAGAGAAAGAGAGACCGTAGCCGTGGGGTGGAGGGGGACGGGGCGAGGGGCGAGAGGGGGATTACAATGCCTCAAATCTGCCACTGCTGCTTTTGTTGTGATGTTACTAGGCAGACTGCAGAGCCGGCGTGCTTGATCTTTTAAAAGAGGGTTGGGGGAATCAAGGGGGGGGGGGATGTTGCTTCAGATGTGCATCTTTTTTGGAGGGGTGTATATACATATATATAGCTTTTTGCAAACTGTTGAAACAAAGAGAGTTTAATCAACGCAGCAACTCCACTTGTGCGCAAAAAAAAAAAGGCCTCGGCAAAATCATTTTACTGAAAATGCACCCCCAATGTGGTTTCTAGGAATCGCTCCCCCTCAGTTTCTACTTTTGCAGCTCACGACTGCGGCGCTATCTGCTTGAAAGGACTTTGGACTTATTATTTTCATTTCATTTCTGCAGAGCGGACCCCCCTCCCCAAGCGTGCCTGGCTGCCAGCAAACAAGGCACAAAGCAGGGGTCCTGCAAAGTTCACCCGGGCGAGGGGGGGCCCCGTCCTGCGCCTGCCTCATCAGCTGCTGCGCGGAGCAGATTGTGGATGGCACACGCTGCTCGTTTGCATTTCTATGGAGAGGCGCACAATAGGCGAGGTCTGGCGTGTGGCAGTTTGGAGCGCACACAATCGGCGCTTTCTCCCCATTGCTGCACTGTCCACCTGCCACTGGGGCGCGGATTTGCTTTTGGCCGAAGGCGGCGGCGAAGAGGGGGGTGGGCTGGGGGGTGGCACACACAATGGCCTGGCTCTCTTGTGTCGCCCAATCTGTTCTTGCTGATGAATGTCTCCACTGGCGCACGCTTCCAGTGAGCAATTGAATTTGGAGGCTTTCGAAGCACGCGATCGTCTCCTTTTCTCCAAAGGGGCCCCCATTCTTCCTTTGTTTTAACCCTTCCCAGACGCTTCGCTACATTGCGGGACACTGCCCCGGCGGCCTAGGCATGTGGCCAGCTTGGCCAGGCCAATCCGGAGTCATCAAGTTTGTGCTTGTTCCTGCCTGGGAGGTGCAAATGACCAGCAGCGCCCAGCTCCTTCTGACTTGCGCCACTTTCCCCCCTTGGGCACGCAGACTGTGCATTGCATTGCTCATAATTCCCCTTTCCAGTCAACCGCGCGCATCACGATCTGGTGTTTATTTTCTTCAGCTTTAAAATTCGGGCATCCTAGAATCCTCGTGGTGTTTCTCTCTCCCCCCCCCTCCCATGCGTAATTCTGGACGAGGAGCGCTACCTACTGGATGCTGACGAGCATCCTTACGGGTATACACTGCCGTGCGGGAAGATCCAAGATTTCTAAGTGGGGAGCGGTGGGGCCTTGCAGAACATGCTTGCAAGCCAAAGAAAGGGCATGTGTTGCGCGCTAATCCCTTTGCAAATTCTCTCCCCTCTCTCTGGAAGCCTGAAGCCGGTTTGTCCTGGCATACAGAGGCAGCTGCTTCTTGCATATTTTACTCTTTGAAAGGAGCCCGATGGTACTTGGGTGTGCGCCACCTTGTGGCTTCTTGGTGCTTTCAGCAAACCTTCCAAGTGTCCCTATTTTCCAAGGACGTCCCTGATTTAGAAAAGTCCGTTTCTGATGTGATCCCGCTTTTCCTTAGGTAAAGGGACCCCTGACCATTAGGTCCAGTCGTGACCAACTCTGGGATTGTGGCGCTCATCTCACTTTACTGGCCAAGGGAACCGGCGTACAGCTTCCAGGTCATGTGGCCAGCATGACTAAGCCGCTTCTGGTGAACCAGAGCAGCGCACGGAAACGCCGTTTACCTTCCCTCCAGAGAGGTACCTATTTATCTACTTGCACTTTGACGTGCTTTCAAACTGCTAGGTTGGCAGGAGCAGGGACCGAGCAACGGAGCTCACCCCGTCACGGGGATTCAAACCGCTGACCTTCTGATCAACAAGTCCTAGGCTCTGTGGTTTAACCCACAGCGCCACACCCTTCCCTCGCTTTTCCTTAGGACGTCCCTATTTTCACTGGAGAAATGTTGGAGAGTATGGAGTTATCCAACCCCTGAGCCATCTGAAGGCAGCCCTGTATAGGAAAGTGGGGTTTTTTTTTAATGTTTAATGTTTTATTATGTTTTTATATGTGTTGGAAGCTGCCCAGAGTGGCCTGGGCAACCCAGTAAGATGTGTGGAGTATACATAGTAAAATCATCATTGTGGAATGGGACGTCCCTATTTTCATGGGAGAAATGTTGAAGAGTATGTTCCAGTTTTCTTGTGAGCCAGCTACTTCCACACGCATATGAGCTTTTCCCCTTCTTTTGCAATGTCCACAGGACGTTGTTGGCATAAAATGCCGCCCTCTATTCCTCACTTTCTGCAGAAAATCTCAGGCATAAAAAGCCCTTCTGCCGACAACACACTTGCAATCCCTGGATGCCTTGTTTACATTATTTTACCCGATGGCACCCAAAAGTAAACAGACCCAGAAGCACTTTACTACACACGATTGAACCACATGTTGAAACAGAAGTTAGCTCACCCGATCACATCGGAGCTTCATGCTGGAAGATTTGATCATCCATCTGAATCATGTGGTATGCACAGCAGCTGAGATAAATCTGAAAATGACGTAGGCATGGAACTCTGCAAATCTTCCATCCCTTAACTCTTAACAGAATAGAAAGCTCACAGCACCCAATGGCACTGTGCCACAAAAGGAAGTGCATTACATTTTCAAGGAGCTTGTAGGCTGTGGGCAAACATCCATATGCCAGGCTTCGTCATTAACAGGTTCATATCAGTCGACTTTGGAATTTTCCCTCGGAATTAAAAAAAAAAACACATTTCTCCCATTTTCATGTAGGAGTAAGATAAGGACATGTATCTTCCTTAAACTGACTCAGTTGCGGAGGGAAGATCTTGTTCGATCTTAGAGCTGGCGACCCCGGCGTGATTTGAACAAATTGGAGCAGTTCAGCAACTCTTTCAGGGTTTATTGTAGAAAACTGCTGATATGGAATTGGCTACTTCTGACACCTTTGGAACATCTAGCCAAGAACCAGCTTGCATTTCTGCATTGCATGAATTGATTTTCATCTTGGCCTTTTTGCACATTGCCTTCAGACATTTCGGAGAAGGGTGTTAAGTAAAAGTATCGGAATGATCTCGGCAAGCTGCGTGTTTTTGCCTATGCAGCCAAACGCACCTGCCAAGCAGGAAGCCTGGATAGATCAGCTGGTTAGAGCGTGGTGCTCTTAACGCCAAGGTTGCAGGTTCAATTCCTGTATGGGACAGCTGTATATTCCTGCATTGCAGGGGGTTGCACTAGAATAGATTATCCCTTTCAACTCTATGATTCTGTGATCAGCAGGATTTTTGGGGGAGGGGACCCCAATGTTTGCAAAAGTACAAAACAAAACAAAAACTGTGACAAGATGTCGTCAAAGTAAGAAACACCCCCCCCTCAAAAAAGAGAACTTAATAAGAACTTAATAAGTTGCTCTTGCTTTCTGGGAGGGGCAAGGTGATAGGGAGGGCAGCATGGTTGCGAGTACACTGGCGGCAGTGCTGGATTGTGCCCGCTGGTGCATCAGCACCACGCCACCCTCTGGGAAAGCCCACCTGTTATTCCCAGTTTTCCAAGGCATACAGGACATGCCCACTGGGGCCTGAGCATGCCTAGAGACCACGGAAGGCTGTCTGACTATTAGAAGGGTCATTCCGCTGCTCTGAGATTCCACTGCAAATGCTGTACATACATAGAATCAAGAGCAGATTGCTTTGGCACTCAAAATCCTACACGTGCCACTCCCCCTCTTGGTCAGTAAGTATATGATATTAATACATTTGATCACTATTCGTTGCCCCCTTGTGACAGCTACCTAATGGTAGGGCCGGCTCTTTCTTCTGCGTCGACGCTGCAGATTAGCTGATGGTGGATTCTACTTCAATTCAGCATTGGTCAGCAATAAAGTTATTGTACGGACATGGCCAGAGTCTGCTCCTCCAAGTTTCTTTTTTATGGCTCCTCGTAAAGCAGATTTCCAGCTGCTCTTGTGAGTAGCAGCTCCTCTGTCCTTTGCTCATTCTTCTTTTCTAAAAGGCACATCTGTAGAGGCAAGCTGTGTGCTAGCGATTTTTAAGGGCAACAGAATCCATTTTAAACCATTAGCAATTTAGACCCATTTGCCCTCCTTAAAAGCATTCGCTCCTAATTTTAAACCTGTCAGAGCTAAAAAATTATTTGATTTATTTATTTAAAAAGAAAAGAATGGAGGAACTGTTACTGATCTTTGTCCAAGTAATATTTATAACAGAAGGATGCCCTCTTGAGGACAGAATGATAATTAACCCTCATCTTTTTAGTGATATCCTCCTTCCCCTTTCTCACATATCAGGGGTGCCCTGTCCTGGCATTCCCACTTATGGGACCATCATGGGGGTTCCTGTTGGGTGTTTGTGTCTGATGCTCTGAGAGAGGGGCACTGTTAGGGTTCTAGGCAAGATCTGCTCACCAGGTGGGGTGGAACTGCAGCAATAACCTTGCAGAAAGGAAGCTCCTGCAGCCAGTCGGAAGCCACGGAAGCCCCGTCGGATGTTCGGGTTCCAAAGAACGTTCGCAAACCAGAACAATCACTTCCGGGATTGCAGCGTTCAGGAGCCCAAACGTTCAACTCACAAGACGTTCGCGAACCAAGGTACAGCTATATTGGTATATATTGTTTCTAGGACTTCTGCAGGCATCCAAATTGTTTTCAACAGATGGTCACTTTTGCATGGCTTCAGCTATGTTACATGAACATAGTTTTAAATGTGCACTTCCTATTTCAGCTGGGGAAAACCCCCTGAAAGTTAAGTGATCTGCAGATTAATAGGTTAGGGATGTAATCCAGCATTATTATCACTTTTTTCTGCTGGGATGGTCTCTTTAATGGGTCATGGTTTTTCAATATGCATTCTGTCATAATGAAACAAGAACTCTCTCTGTGTGTTTTTTTAACCCAGATGTTGGCGGCATGTGTGGCCCTGCCTGATTATAGATGGCCTCTCTCTTTCTCTCTCTCTCTCTCATATCTCCAGAAGACACTCACTAATGGAACTTTTATGGCGAGAGATGGACCCAACTGAGCAAACATAATTTGGTGACCTTTGCGAGCTCACTTTTGTGTCATCTGTTTTAGGTCAGACAAAGCGCACGCTCTCTGAGCAATCTGCCAGCTGCTCGGCCTAAAATCGAAGTGTGCCTTTCAAATCAGAGCCGCCACCCTTATTTTTATTTATTTCCCAACTGTCGAGGGAGGGAGAAGTCCAACACATTGCCTCGTTTAGCAGTTGTAGCTAAGGCGGAGTGCTCTCTTTAGCTGAACTACTGGATGTGGCATAATTCGCTGTCTGTTAATCTCAGTGCTGTGACTGCTTTGGAGGAGCTCGTGACTAAACATTAGAAAGCATCAGAAGCCCAAGGGCCAATGCACATGTCATGGTGCCCATTTAAGCCAACTCCTAACAGCTGCCTATGCTGGACAAAGAGTAAACTGGAGCTCAGAACCAGACACTCCAAGTGTCCCTATTTTCCAGGGACAAACCTGGATTTACAGAAGCCGTCCCAGTTTCCGATTTGATCCTGGAATGTCCTACTTTACCTTAGAACGTCCCTATTTTCATTGGAGAAATATTGGAGTTATGCGACCCCCGAGCCAGGCAGTGTGTCTCATCTGTCCTGAATCTCCCATAATTCCACTTCACTGGACAATTTCAGAGAGAGAGAGAAGAGCTATTCACACCAGGCATCATTTTATAAACCTAAAAATTATATAAACTAAATATTTCAGCCTTTTCTGGGCCATTTTGCTTGTTCATTTCTGGACCTTTTCCAGCAATATCTTTTTTGAAAGATGGCCTGTGTACACACAATATATTTAAAGCACATGATGTCGTCGTCCCCCCAAAGAATCATGGGAACTCTAGTTTACCCCCACAATTCTCAGCACCCTTCACAAACTTCAGTTCCCAGGATTCTTTGGGAGAAGTCGTGTGCTTGAAATGTATCGTGTGTGCACAGCCACCGAGAATGGAACTGTGCACAGTGTTCCAAGTTTGGCTTCACCATATACTGTACAGTTGTACCTCGGTTTTCAAACGTAATCTGTTCCGGAAGACCATTCGACTTCCAAAACATTCGAAAACCAAGGCACAAAGGGTGGTCTGTAAATTCAATGAAGATAATTGGGGGGGACTCAGCGGAAGCCGTTCGACTTCCAAGGCACGTTCAAAAATGGAAGCATTTACTTCCGGGTTTTTGTCGTTCGAAAACCGAAACGTTTGGCTTCTGAGATGCTCGAAAACCGAGGTACCACTGTATTGGAATAAGGGGCACTGCAATGTAGACAGGTTTTCTTCCTTTCCTAATAATCTCTAGCATGGAATACCAGGTCACACATGATGTGTGGGGAAAACATTTAAAAGTCATTTGCCTTTCGAAAGATTTAGGCTGGAGATGCCAGAGCATTATGGAGAGGGAACGGCCTTCCTGGAGGGCGCTGATGACTGCTCCTATCCCTGGCCTCTCTCTGGCAATATTACCAGGGTCTGTTGCTCCTTGAACCAGCTGCAGCTGGTGTGTTTGCTGGCTTGCAGAAAACTCATCTGAAGGTGAAGTCGCAGGTGTTGCTCTAGGGAGTGAGGAGGGTTTCCTATCACAGAAGCATTCCGTTTCATGGAATGTGGCGACTGCTAAAAAATATTTGTTTGTCAAGAGTTCAAGGAGATCTTCCCGGAATGAGGACAGAGGGGATAACCAGGTTAAGGAAACAATGAATGAACAGCCATGGCAATGCTTCGGAAAAATGCAGCGAAACATTGCGTTAAAAAATTAATTCTTCTTTGATTTCTATCCTTTTCTAAGTTTAAAAGCTGGTGGAAAACAATCGTCGTTCTGTTTAAACTGATGGAATATGCACAGCTTGCAGACGTAACGTATAGAACAAGAAGAACATACATTTAAAGAAGGTTGGAAAATGTTGAATATATTGGGGGAAACTGTGTACACTTGAAAATGTGGGCAGCATTAAAATAAATTCAACAATGTAAACAAGTTTTGATGGATGTATTAATGGAATACTGAATGGTTTAGTTTATGTAAAATATGCATGGATTTATGATATGCAAATTGAACCATGGAAAGAGAAGAAGGGAAGTCATTGGCATTTTAACATTGCTTAAGGAATTTTTTTAATTGTAAAATGGGAAACTTAATAAAAATTACACACACACACACACACACACACACACAATTATCATCATTCATTGTTTTTCTCTATCTCAGGGTCTATATCTAATTTGATCACCATCTCTTCAGGTGCAAATTATCCATGGGTAGACCTCTTCAAAAAATTGGATTTAGGTGTTGATGACTTTGAAGAAAGATTATAACGTTTATTTATTTCTACATACTCCTTTTGTATCCTGCCTTTCCTCCAAAGATTCAGCAAATATCTCCACCAACCACTGCTCCACTGTCTCTTCATGACAACTCTTGAGCTACTTTTGGCTAAGAATTAGCAATTGGTCCATTGAGGTTCATGGCCAAGTGGGCATTTGGACATAGGTCTCCCTGGTTCTAATCCAAGCATTGCACGGCAAAGAATAAATTCAAGAACTCTTGATTCGTACACTGGGCTAGATCCATACTTGGTCATTCTTACAGCAGTGGAACTTAGGTTACTTGTGAAAACCATTGGTTTTCATGGGTCATGACTATCCTAAGTCCCATGGGATGCGGGTGGTGCTGTGAGCCTCTTGGGCTTGCCGATCAGAAGGCTGGCAGTTTGAATCTCCATGACGGAATGAGCTCACGTTGCTCTTTCCCAGCTCATACCAACATAGCAGTTTGAAAGCACACCAGTGCAAGTAGATAAATAGGTACCACTGTGGCAGGAAGGTAAACGCTGTTTCCGTGCGCTCTGATTTCCGTCACGGTGTCCCATTGTGCCAGAAGCTACTGTTAGATCCATCATGAGACGTCTGACAGCTTCTAATCACAGATACCAGCAGCCTTCAAACAAGCAAACTTGCCTTATCATCGCTCCCTAGCATCCCACTGCCAGAGGATTGCCTCCTTCCATTCACCAGTTTGCCTTCTCCAAGTAGAAGAAACCTGGGCAGTGCTGAATGACACATCCATTGCCAGGTGTGTCCTACTGGAAATAAAAAAGTGTTTTCCCCATGGTCTGCCCTTATATCCACTCAGTTACCAAGGGCTTTTGTGACATTACAAGAAAGCCACAGCGAATGG